ATATATTGTTATATGTTATATTTTTATATGTATAATATATATATATATATATATATATATATATATATATATAGAGCCATTTTTGGGCTAAATCTTCATTTACACATTTTTATGAACTGTAAAAAATTTTTTTTAACATTTTTAAAAAAATGTTTTACTGTAAAAAACAGCTATATCTGCCAAAGCAACATTTCTCATTTTCATTTAGTTTAACTGTACACAAATAAGTAAAACTAAAACTGAAATAAAAAAATAATATATTTTAGACATATTTAGACTTTATAGACATATTTAAAAAAAACTATAAATAATAAAAATATATAATATGGTAATAAAAAAAACATATTACCAAATTACAAAAAAGTAACTAAAATTAAAATTAAAACTGAATTTAAAAAAAGAAATACAACTATAATAGTATGTCAATGATACTAAAATAACACTGACAAAATAATTATACTTGTTTCATATTATTTATTATATTAAATACTATATACACATATGCACACACATACACATTGTGTATATACAACTATATACACATACTACACTATGTTGTATGAAGCATTTATTAATATAATAAATAATATGTAGCATTTATCATTATTTTTAAGCTAAATTTTCAATCACATATTTAAAATGATAGGTGAAATGTTTACTACATTTTATATGGAGTTAGCAAAACATTGCTAATTGGTTACCTGTACATGAGATAAAAAGCAGCAAAAATCTCCATAAAGTGTCAGGGGTGGTAAAGGAAGAGGAATCAGTTGCAGGGATAACAAGGATTTATTCGAGATTCAACACAAACAGGAACAACGCCACTGTCTGAGAGGGTAATCTGGGGAGATCCCAACCAGGTCCGGGGAAAAGAAAGTCAGCTCAACAGCAGGTCTCTAGGAAAAGGGGGTTTCCAGAGCAAATGGCCACAAGTACCAGTCCACGAGCAACGAGACAGTCCAGCTCTCCAAGTAATTCCAAGTACCAGAGAGTGGCGATGGTGGGAGGGAGAGGAACTCCAGCAGCCAGGGCAGATGGGGGCTGTAGGGGGCAGAGGGGAAGGGAAAGAACGAACACAAAACTAACTGGCTGGAGCAAAAGAAAACCCCTTATCTCAAAAGTAAAATAAAAGCTAAGGCAACTAGGCAAGACTAGGCTAGACCAACAGGATAACAGTCAACAGCGACAAGAGCCAGGTTAACTCAGCAGAGCAGAGATTTCGATCTGGCACAGGACAGAAAACAAGAGGAGAATATAAGGGTGACTACTGATTAGACACAGGTGTACCCCTAACGAGATAAGATAACGAGATGGGCGGGGTAACAAATAGACAATAGAGCACATGGCAACATAATTACCAACTGACAGCCATGTGCTCCAGACAGACCAGGTCAACATAAACAAACCCAGATCAGACCGGCGCCTTGACATAAAGTGCATTAGTAACTACCTTGGCAGGGGACGGAGCAGGAGTTGGTGCAGGGGCCGACCTAGAGACCGAGGCCGGGGTGGGACCAGAGGCGGCTTGTGCCTTTAACAATAATAACCCTGATGTGTGTTTATATACTGCAGGGGTTCTCAACTCTGGTCCTTGAGGTCCACTTTCCTGCAGAGTTTAGCTCCAACACACAAGAGCAAGCTAATCAGTTGTCTTCAGAATCACTAGAAAGTTACAGGCAGGTGAGTTTGATCAAGGTTGGAGCTAAACCAACGCCGAATCGTTCAAAAACACTGATTCATTTAGGAACGAAACAAATGTCATTGTGAGAGATTCAATGAGTCATTCACTCATTCCATTCGTTCAAAAACAGGACGCTTGACGGTCAGTTCCGCTTTGGACTAGTTTGCAAGTATTTTTGCATTAAAATGTAAGTTACTCAATATTAACTTCACGCTTACTGTTAGCCAACTTGTACCGCATTAACTTGCTAAATATGAGATGTAATATCGTCGCGCTCTTTTATTTCGTGATTGGAGACGTGCTATCCTAATAAGATATTAATAATAACGCTTTCTTAATGATCTCTTAACATGATAAACATGTACTGTCTGTAATATGAGTACATGACTGTTGCCATGAGGCACAGCAACAGGCCAAACTGTTCAAATGAACCCTCATGCTATAATTTACTGCAGTGACCCTTCAAACAACCATGCGCCCATACCGACGTTCAGATACAGAGAAATTTTAAATAAACAAGTTTAATAATGTAAGGAGCCAGTTGTATTGTACATATTATCTATTGTTTATGTTGTATTGGCTCGCTTTTGTAAATAACAACATGGTAATTTTACACTGCATAGTCACAATAAAGGAGACCGGGGCTGGTTGTCACATTTGTTTTACTTTACTGAATATTTCTAGCTCTGTAAAATTGGTTGTTACTGATCTGCTCAACTTTATACTTTTAACGCAGCTGAGCAAAGACTCACAGACATTGACTACACACAGCTAACCCAGCAAAATCAAAGATAGAAATGGTCATTAATTTGCTAATTTGAATGTTTTATACGGTGGCCGAGAGAGCTCAACGCGCTGCAACTTAAGAAAACACATGCAAATAGAAAAAGCACCAGCAAATCAAGAAAACTGGTGCTGCAAATTCTCACAACGCAAAAAAATAAAGAAACGCTCTGTAAATGCTCACAACACAACCAAATAAAGAATTGTATTTGTTGCGCGTTTCTTTGTTTGGTTGTGTTGTGAGCATTTGCAGCACGTGTGTTGTCAAATTGATGAAGTTGTTTTCTTAATTTGCTGGTGTTTTTTCTATTTGCAGCGCGTTGAGCTCTCTCGGCCACAGTAGTTTTAGTTGCTTTTGAACTTGTTGAACTGGTGTTTTAATATCCCATTTTATAAACAAGATGGTAATAAAAAAAATAAAATGTTTTGCTTCTCTTCACAGTATCCGTTCTGAAGAGACTCATAAAAAAATCATGAAACTTTATCAAGAAATATTCCTGCGCCCTCAGACAATTTTACCCAGAATACAACTCAAGACTAGGATGTGAGTAACTATTTCTTTAATAGTTGAAATATTGAAATATTTTGCTCAGTACTAATTAGTAATCATGGTGTGTATTATGGGATCAGACCACTAAAACTAGTTCAAACTTTCACTAAGTAAAGAAAAAGTAAGTTTTGCATGGAAGTCTGAGGACAGACGTTATTGTTTCCAATGCAGAATCGCTATATTCATTGGAATTCTGTCTAAAATAAAGTGCAGATCATGCCTGCTTAGTTTCGGCGAGCTGTTTGTGATCAGTTTTTTAGGTTATGGTGTAATCCTCTTACCCTGAGAAGTAGTTTACTCAGCTGCAAAACTTAGTACTTAGTAAACACTGTAGCAAAGTAAACTTAGTAAAGCTCAGAATTAGATTAGATATAAATGAAACATGTACACAGGTCAAATGTAATGTAATCAAATTAAAACGTACTTTATAAACACATGAAAGTAAGTTATTTGATTCGAGACTCTTGGATTTATTTGATGAAAAATATAGCAATATTGTTAATTTAATATTGAATCTGCTTAATAGTTTTGAGGGCAGTGTTATTATAGTATCATTATAGTATATATTATAGTATATTATAGAGATACTATTGTATAGTTTTATTTAATATTTTGAGTTAGATTAGATTTTTTTTATTAGATTTATATTTTCTGCCTTCATGCTAATTTTAAAGTTATAGCAATTTTGTTATTTTTATATATGTCTGTATATATATATATATATATATATTTTTTTTTTACAGATTTTTTAGTTATTTTAGTACATCAAGTTAAACTAAATGAATATGAGAAATGTTGCTTTGCCAGCTAGTTGAAATAAAATATTAAAAACTTAAACTTTTTAACTATTATTCAGTTACCATTGATTTTAAGTGACAAAATATTTTTTTTTTTTAGTTTTACTTTTAATTTGAGTTAACTGTAAAAACCTGAACCAGGATTTTTTTTCAGGAATTCTTTGATAAATAGACATTTTAAAAGAACAGCATTAAAAAATATATATTTTGTAACATTATTAATGTCTTTACTGTCACTTTTGATCAATTTAATGTGTCCTTGCTGAAAAAAACGAATTTCTTAAAAAAAAAAATATATATTACTGACCTCAATCTAGAACAGTTGTGTATATTAAAATCAAAATGGAAGGTGCTTCTAGCAGGCTTCTGAATCAGTATTCATTTGCAATATTACTAGCTTTTACCTCTTGGGAATAAACAAATGAACAAAACTCTATTGTAGTGTAACTTTGCTGCTAAGAGTGTGCTGGAGCTGTTTTAGCCTTTACGTCAAACCTGCATCATTATTCTAAAAATTGCCCTTGTGTCTTTTTGAAAAGTCGTATCTTGTTGAGTGAAAAGTCACCAACAGGAAGTGCTTTATAATAAAAGACACGTGGGCCGCACTCCTGCAGGGGCATGATGCAGAAGCTGAGGACCTGTCAGTCATTTCAATCTCACTGTAGTCCCACTCAGAGATGTTCTGAGTAATGTTTACAGTCCTCTCAACAGCTTGCTGGAGCAGCAAAAATGAATGTTCTTGTGGGTAGTGACATATGAGTCATGGCTCTAATTGGCTGGAATATAGATCGGCTCCCAGTTGGAATCGGGTGTCTTGAATAGCATTCACAAAGAAGGGTTATTTAAGGATTGGTTAAAATGAAAAATAGTGAGTGATTATCTTGTAAATCAACTTTAGGACTGCGGTTAAGGTAATTCTGATTGAATGCACTACTTAATGTGGCTGTGCTTTTCAGTTAAACTATCAATCAAAAGTCCGGACACACCTACTCATTCTTTATTATTACTTTTCCCCACATTTTATAATAATAATAAGGTCATTAAAGCTATGAAATCACTCCAGTTGAAGTATGGAAATTATGTCTTATATTTGAACATACAGTATATACCTTAGGTTATATATGAACAAAATAAATTAAAATATGAACAAAGTGTATTTATTATTTGTCAACAAAACTAATTTCAAACACTTAGGCAGAAGACTTTAGATAAAGTTTTTATGATTTAATAAGATGTTTAAATACATTTGTTTCTTAAAGGAATAGTTCACCCAAAAATTAAATTTGCTGAAATTTACACACCCTCAGGCCATCCAAGATGTAGCTGAGTTTGTTTCTTCATCTGAACAGATTTATAGAAATTTAGCATTACATCACTTGCTCACCAATGGATCCTCTGCAGTGAATGGGTGCCGTCAGAATGAGTCCAAACAGCTGATAAAAACATCACATTAATCCACAAGTAATCCACTTGTGAAGTGAAAACCTGTGTGTTTGTTAGAAACAAATTCATCAATAAGTCGTTTTTAATTTTGAGCCATTGCTTCCGGCTAAAATATGAGTCCTCTAACCATAATATTGCTTTATCCAGTGAAAAAGTTGTCTTGGCTGAATCTGGAAAGAAATATGCATAGATCAAGCACTGTTTACAAATGAAATGGTCCAAATCAGTTCTTAACGCATATGTTGGTGGATTTTGATGTGAGAGGACTACAGGGGATGCAAAACTCTATTGTAGTGTAACTTTGCTGCTAAGAGTGTGCTGGAGCTGTTTTAGCCTTTACGTCAAACCTGCATCATTATTCTAAAAATTGCCCTTGTGTCTTTTTGAAAAGTCGTATCTTGTTGAGTGAAAAGTCACCAACAGGAAGTGCTTTATAATAAAAGACACGTGGGCCGCACTCCTGCAGGGGCATGATGCAGAAGCTGAGGACCTGTCAGTCATTTCAATCTCACTGTAGTCCCACTCAGAGATGTTCTGAGTAATGTTTACAGTCCTCTCAACAGCTTGCTGGAGCAGCAAAAATGAATGTTCTTGTGGGTAGTGACATATGAGTCATGGCTCTAATTGGCTGGAATATAGATCGGCTCCCAGTTGGAATCGGGTGTCTTGAATAGCATTCACAAAGAAGGGTTATTTAAGGATTGGTTAAAATGAAAAATAGTGAGTGATTATCTTGTAAATCAACTTTAGGACTGCGGTTAAGGTAATTCTGATTGAATGCACTACTTAATGTGGCTGTGCTTTTCAGTTAAACTATCAATCAAAAGTCCGGACACACCTACTCATTCTTTATTATTACTTTTCCCCACATTTTATAATAATAATAAGGTCATTAAAACTATGAAATCACTCCAGTTGAAGTATGGAAATTATGTCTTATATTTGAACATACAGTATATACCTTAGGTTATATATGAACAAAATAAATTAAAATATGAACAAAGTGTATTTATAAGGACAATTTATATTTGTCAACAAAACTAATTTCAAACACTTAGGCAGAAGACTTTAGATAAAGTTTTTATGATTTAATAAGATGTTTAAATACATTTGTTTCTTAAAGGAATAGTTCACCCAAAAATTAAATTTGCTGAAATTTACACACCCTCAGGCCATCCAAGATGTAGCTGAGTTTGTTTCTTCATCTGAACAGATTTATAGAAATTTAGCATTACATCACTTGCTCACCAATGGATCCTCTGCAGTGAATGGGTGCCGTCAGAATGAGTCCAAACAGCTGATAAAAACATCACATTAATCCACAAGTAATCCACTTGTGAAGTGAAAACCTGTGTGTTTGTTAGAAACAAATTCATCAATAAGTCGTTTTTAATTTTGAGCCATTGCTTCCGGCTAAAATATGAGTCCTCTAACCATAATATTGCTTTATCCAGTGAAAAAGTTGTCTTGGCTGAATCTGGAAAGAAATATGCATAGATCAAGCACTGTTTACAAATGAAATGGTCCAAATCAGTTCTTAACGCATATGTTGGTGGATTTTGATGTGAGAGGACTACAGGGGATGGACTTTTTTCACTGGAGGAAGAGTTGTTATGGATTGTGGACTGGTATTTTGATTTGACACTAAAAACGTCTTGATGAATTTATTACAAACATACAGCTTTCACTTCACAAGACACATTAATTGATGGACTGGAATTGTTGTGGATTACTTGTAGATTGTAACGTTTTAATCAGCTGTTTGGACTCTCATTCTGACGGCACCCATTCACTGCAGATGATCAATTGGTGAGCAAATGATGTAATGCAAAATTTCTCTAAACCTGTTCTGATGAACAAACAATCATCTACATCTTCGATGACCTGACTGATCAACAAATTTTCATTTTTGTGTGACCTGTTCCTTTAAGATATTTTCTTCAGGTGCAGATGCTCAGTTTGGATGTTTGAAGTTTTGTCATGCAATCACTTATAGTATAATATAACATCTCTTTTTATTTCTTGCAGTCCAAAAGTGATAAACTACATTTCATCATGAGTATCCTCATTTATTACATTCTGTTTCAACAACACAAACTTTGGTATTGGCAAATGATGGATATAAACTTTATGAGAATCATCTGATCTTCTCTATTCCTCTGGGCAGCCAATCTCCAGTGAAGCTGAGAGTATATGAGTCCGTCCAGGAGGTCAGCAGACATCAGCCACATGGAAAACTGGCTCAGGAATCACTCATGAATCATGTGATCAAAGCCCTTAAGAAATTGTAAGTATGACTAAGTGTTCTTTGTGGGTAGTTTAAAGACCCTCTGGACATATTGATGATACAAAATGACTGATATAAAACACACATTTATATGTTTTTTCAGGCCTGGTTTGAATCTGTTGGTATGAATCTCATTAAATCTGTCAAAAAGGCCACATTTCAGACTCAAAAACTAATTTAAATGAGCACATTTTCTCCTGCAGTTCTCATTACTTTCATGCAAATTTTTTTTTTTACTGCATTACAGATGAGAATTAAATACATCCATATGCATTACGCTAATGAGAATTGTGGAATGTGTCAAGTCTGTTGACTGCATTCATTCTCTCTCAACCAGTTATTATTATTAGACCAACACTGTTTGTAATTTATAACATGAGGTGATACAATTCACAACTTGACTGCTCAACATGTAGTGTTTGCATCTTCCAACAGAGGGCAGTGTAACACCTTGTCAGCATGTCAAACAATCATGACTTATTTCTGCTCAAAGCTACATGCATCCCAGAATTTCTTTGGTTGGCAAAGCATTTCTCTTGGATTGCCTTACTACTTTGTGCTTTGCATGCTTAGTTATGACAAGGGAACATTTGTGCTTTAATGTGCCATATTACAGCTGAGTAACATGGATCACATACAGAAAGCTTCATGCACGGGCAGCTCGAAGGAGAACTTTCTGTGATACCCATTTTGCATTTGTAGTGACATTACCTACGGGGCTTTCCGAGGCCCTTGTAGACGGTTCCTTGGGCTTTGTCATGTCTTCACGGGTTTTTTCTCCCCAGCTCTGCCTCTAGATATCTGGGTCGTGTATGCCAATTGCCACTGGGGGAATTTGTTTGAAAGATGTGAGCTGGATAAGAGAAATAGGTCATGATTTTATTCGATTTGGGAGATGAAATCGTCTCGTCCCTGTGAGGTTCTGCCTTGTGACATTCAGCGAACTGTATTGTGAAAGAATCTCAGCCATGTGGAAATGAGATTATAAAGGGCAAATAATCTCAAGCCCACAGCGATAGACACTTGGCAGTTTCACAGGAATCAGTATCAAATGATGAATGAGGGCCCAAGGCTTTGTTTTAAAGGTAAACAAAACACTGATTTGGTTTAAAGTCAACATGAAATCAAAATTTACCCTGTTACTTTTTTTTAAGGGCATTGCTGGTCTCTGTGTGTATGGCTCTGAAGTGCATTTTATTCTAAAAAGAAAAAAATACCTTGTCTTTCAATGAAAAAGCAATAACATGCTTTGATTTTGAATGATATGCCCTTACATTTCAACACTCGTATTTCATGGCCACAATCCAATCTATCCCAGATGGATAAAATCAAGGGCCAGCCTGTGGTGTACTCATTGAATTTCCTGTTTCATAATCAGCCCCTGCTGGTAGATATCATAACTACACCATTTATATAAGTGATATAAGTGACGTGACATATGGCCAAGTATGGTGACCCATACTCGCAATTAGTGCTCTGCATTTACCCATTCAAAGTGCACACACACAGCAGTGAACACACACACTGTGAACACACACCCAGAGCAGTGGGCAGCCATTTATGCTGCGGCGCCCGGGGAGCAGTTGGGGGTTCGGTGTCTTGCTCAAGGGCACCTCAGTCGTGGTATTGAAGGTGGGAGAGAGCGCTGTACATTCACTCCCCCCACCTACAATTCCTGCCGGTACGAGACTCTCTAACCATTAGGCCACGACTTCCCCATTGAAATTTAGACCCAATAGTCATTTTTTTCCAAGCAAGCAAAATAGCAAACATTTTGTTTTATAGTAAGTTATGCTGATGGCTTTATTTTCTTTTTCATTTTTTTTTATTCATCCTACGATGTGGTTATATCCTATAACCAAGGCTGTGTTTTTTTATTTTTATAAAATGAATAATTTTTTTTTTAACAATTTAAAATTTTATAAAAACATCAATATTGTGAAATTTTACATTTTCGCTATCATTACTCCAGTCTTCAGTGTCACATGATCCTTCAGAAATCATTATAATATGCTGATTTCTTATTATCAATGTTGAAAACAGTTGTGCTGCTTAATATTATTGTGGAAACCACAATACACTGTCTTTTAAAAGTTATGAGTAAGATAAAAAAAAAACTTTTAATCAAAAAGGAAACATTACATGGATCAAAAGTGACAATAAAGACATTTATAATGACATTAATGGTTTCTATTTCACATAAATGCTGAACTTTCTGTTAATCAAAGAGTCTCACGGAAAGAGTATAACGGTTTCCTCAAAAATATGAAGCCATTTTCAACTGCTGAACTGGATGATTCAGCGGTTTTCAACAATTATAATAATAAGAAATGTTCATTGAGCACCAAATAAGCGTATTGGAATGATTTCTGAAGGATCGTGTGATGAAAAAAAAAAGTCTTATTCCAAAATGTGTGCACATAATAATAAAATAATTAATTAAATATATAATATGTATAATTGAATGTATAATATAATTGAAATTGAATAATTTAAATATTATAATAATTAAAAAAAACTTTTTCTTATTATTGTTATTGTTTATAAATAATAATTAATATACTTAACAGATTGACATGGACCTCTTTGGATTTTTTTTGTCTGCCTCCTTTGACATCACAGCTAGGCATAGTCACAAGTGAAGGGTCTGGAAATGTATTAATTCATTATAGTGCCATCAACCATTAAAGTGTTGTCATGATGTAATCTTCTGGTGGTTCCAGAGTGATTAGTCACTTGACAATTGCACCTCAGTTGATTAGTCTCATAACAACTTAGATGTGGAACTGAGTGCCCGTGAGCAAAGATGGCAGATTTCAAATCGCTTAATTTGTGAATGTGAGTAGCTTTCATAATTATACATCTCTTTGAATGTTGAATATCCTCTTCGATATGTCAGATTTTAGAAGTAAAATGGGGTTTAACTGTAACATGGACTTTTATTTGTAATCATCATTGCACCTCAATGTCATTGCTCACCTCTTCTAAGTACATTTTGAATCCATCTGAAGGGCATCCATTGACCTGGTGTGTGTACATACACTAACCTATATGGGTTTGTTGTCTAGTGTTTCTTTACATCTGCTCTTGTTGTGAAGCCAGTTTTCCCCATCCAGGTCTCATGGGGAGCTGGACCAACTGTGCTGGCAACACATACACACACACTTCCTGCTCTTGCACACTGTTCCCGTGAGAGCTTGTCTCTCTGCCAGCTCTGGAGGCAGGAAGTGCTTGGCTTCCCCCCGCGCTGGCTTTGCCCATGTAGCTCCACGTCCAGGAGGCCATTGTAACAGTCAGAGCAGGGCAGTAATGGGGGGGAGGGCTGCTCCAGGAACCAGCGGAAGATGTTCAGCTTATTTGATGAAGGAAGCCGGCCAGCACAACCTGCTTTGTGTGCACTTTCTGACTGCATTTTTATTATAGTTCATGTATTTATTTTGCTCTGTGTTTCAGTGCTTTGACCCCTCCTCAAGACTTCACCCTTTCCCACAATCCTCCTCCTGTGTTTCCTGGGGATGTGTGCTGGACAGAGAAACACTTTGACCCAGAAAAGTTTTCAGTGTTACCTGAAACTCTAATTGTGTGTGTGTGTGTGTGTGTGTGTGTGTGTGTATATATATATATATATATATATATATATATATATATATATATATATGGTTTAATTTGTTCAACCAGTGCGTTGGGTATCATGAACTAACAATGAACAATATCTTTACACCATTTATTACTCTAGGGAAATGTTAATTTAAATTTTTTTCAAAACAATAGTTTTTTATAGCATTTATAGTTATATATAAACAATGTATTATGAATGAAAATTAAGAATGCACAACTAAAAAAGGAATATTTACCTAGATGAAAGAAATGTAAATCATGTTGTGATGTTAACTATTAGTTCATGATACCATTAAAAAATAAGCATTAAATATTTCTAATAATTGGAAACTCATTTTATTATCTTATCAGGTTCTGTGTAAAAATAATAATAACAATAATAAAATATATTTGTTAAATATATTTAACAATAATAATAATAGTAAAATAGATAAGTTACATATCATTTAACACAGAGCAAAATATTTAAAACCATCTCCTCATTCAAACAGTTTTTCACATCTATTAACATTTCAAAGTGCAATTTAACATCTGTCACCATCTATATATTCAGCCAACAGGCGTGATTGTCATCCAATACAGTTCAGATGTGTATGTCATGTGAAATGTTTAGTTTTATGGTGTTTTCTTAAAGTTGAGATCATTTGGAAAGCTCTGAGGCTTTTGTGTGCGGAGACAATGATTGGCCGGGCTTACATGCCTTATTTCAGTCCAATGGTTCCTGGTGTGCCCTATTGGAAAAAACATTTTATGAGCGTAAAGGTGCTGTATGTAATTTTTTTGACTGTACAAAACATAAAAATACCATAATGCTTGCAGATATTTAAGAAACATGCTAAGTTCACATACTTGTTTCTCTGAAAAACAATGCTATAACCAGTTATTCTATTTGAAAGTGTGTGTTCCGTGTTGGAAAGTAGTTGACATCTGGGTTGCCAGTTGCTGGAAAACCCAGCGTATTGCAGCCATGGAAGCCAGCAAACAAACTGAGACCGAGATTAGATTCTATCCTACCTAAAAATTCTCAGCAACCATCTAAAAAGCTCTGTGACATATGGATAAATCAACTCGTCAACTTAGTGTGTATCAGACCCGTCACCTTTTATTATTAATTGTGCTCGTTTCTGTTGCGTGTGCTCAATCTGACAACCCTGTGTCAGAAATAATAATAATAATAATAATAACCTACCTGTGCCAGAAAATAAATTCGTCAGACTTTGGGGATTTGCATGTAGATCATAATCTGTTGCTGTGGATCAGTTTCTTCTTTCAGAAGACATTTATGATCAGATATAATATTTTGTGACATTAAGAAACTAGAAACACCCAGGATTTCATACTCTTCGCTGTGGGAAAGTAGCGCTAGAAAGAAATTAAGCAGA